GGGTCTTCCGTGGGCTTCGTTACCCCAGACAAGGCCATTCCACCACGTCATATCACGAAGACGCAGGGGGTCTTCGTGACAGTCTGGTATCTCCAGGAGATTGAAGCTCCTTGCAGGGCCTCTGTGCCCTGTCTCAGGCTGCGAGCTTCTTTGTAGCTTGCAGCAAGGGAGGGCCCCCAAGGCCAACCTCCCACACCGTCCTGGCTCAGCTCTCAGGACGACTGAGTTTCTCAGCTCCTCTCCGCAGTACATGCTGCACTTCAAGGCTCTTTCAAGCAAGAGTCCATCATCTTCCTCCTTCCAGGAGGTCTCAAAGGAGTTTGGGGGGGGGGGGGTCTGGTATCAGTTCCTACCCCCAGAACTCCGTAGTTCTGCTGCTACCTTCTCTTCTTCCTCCGGTTCAGTTCTTATCTGTCCTGGCTCTTATCCAGAGTCTCTGGACACTCCCGCCGCTTCTGCTCTGTCTCTGTAGCCCCCAACTGGGGCTGGGGGGCCCCAGAGGCCCCGAGGGGCTCCGGGCCCCTTTACTCGTGGCTCTACCACAACATGGCTACTTTCTTCTACCCACCAAACTACAACTCTTCTCTTCCGGTGCTTGTGATATGTTTACATTTCTGCAGGAGCGCTCATTGGGCAGAACTTCAAAACTTCCAGGGGTTTCCACCCCTGGGGGTTACCACTTTTCAGCCTCTGGGGGAAAACAAGGTTCAAACCACTACAACACTCTAAAGAGTCATGCCTTTTTTTCAATAAGAAGACACAAGGACAAGAAAGCTTTTCTATCATCAGGATAATTTTTAGCAACACTTAAGTTCTGGAGATTTATTAAATAAATAAACTCCCAAACTCATGTACAATTATAAGATACATCTCAGTAGTATATGCAACAATAATAAAAGCCAATGCTATATCAAATTGCAATATCAAAGGAATTATTTTTCAACACAGAAGTGCACAACTAGCAACTGTTCTTCTGTACACAGCAGTAAATAATCAGAGTACTAGAAGAGAGCATTTTGTACCACCATACACCAATTACTGCTAAGAAAGAGAATATTTATCACAAGTATATATACAGCAAAAGAGAGCAAAAAGTGATGGGCTCCTTAAAGTCTCCCATCTGCATCAAAACCACGATTCCAAGCTATTAGCTAAAGAAGTAACTGAATAATCCCTTAAAGAAACTGATTCTCCATCCCTTCTTTCCTTCGTTTGAAGTACTGCATTATCTTTCAACTCTTCCTTTTCACATTCACATTCACAGACTAATCAAACAAAAATATCTGAAAACAGTAACAACCAAGTAATGATCTCCACTATAATGATCTTTACTACTAAGGACTTTATTTTCAACTATCAAATAATTTGTACATCTGTACTGCAATTATTTCATTTGTCTTGTCATCTTATTACTTTTGTATTTCAAGCATTTTTAAAGCACACTGGAGAGTTACATGTTCCCCTACCCCCATTATGTTTTCGGATTGGATGGGGATTTTTTAACCATGAAAGACAGAATGTGAAAGAATCTATGAGAATTAATATCTGTTTAGAGTAAGATTATAATTTATAGAAAAAATAAACCAGTCTTAAAACAATACTGAGGTTATGAAGCCAATTGGCACAACCATTCAGTCAGAAGTAACGCATCTACCGTTATTTGGCAGTTGATCCTTTCATCTGAACAAGAATAATTCACCATTTAGGCACTCTTAACCTAGCAATTTGCAGAGTAATTTTAATTGCAGTGGTTAAACAAAAAAAAGGTTCATTTTGCACTCTGCACTTGTCTTTTTGTGAACAAGCCAGTACATGATCATTCCTCATCACCCCACCAACAGAGCATCTGTACCAGTTTCAATGCTTTCTTTATAGGCAGTACTTGATTATTTTTTTTCCCCCACTAACTACATGGTTTCACACTTCACTTACAATACACTTCACAAATTCCTCTCTAAAGGTAAAATATAATTCCTTAAAAATTTTTCTGCGGTGTTCTTATCAATGAGCCCTGAGGCATGTTCACATCAGTGATTCAGAACACAGGAGATCTTTTTGGTGCAAATTGTCAATGTGCCTACACTTAGCCTGGAGACATGCACGCCAGTTTGCTGTTGATGTGTTCAAGGTAACTTCTATCCCGCTAAAGACTGAAGTTGTCTGCCAAGAATTCTTTGGATTGAGAACTGGCATAGATGTGGCATCCATTAAAAACAAATGCGAACAAACAATTTTGAAATCATAACCATTTGAAGCAAATTGAACACTCCCTCTTTGCAAAATACCAGTTGGTAACTACATAATTAACCTTAATATTTAGAAAGTATCGCATGTGTATATTCACAATACTCCAGTAAGATAAAACAGTATAATTATCTCCACTCTACAGGAAAGAAACAATGGCATGAATGCCAGAAAACAAAAATGTCAAAAGAAGAAAATACCAATAACAATTGTATTAATCTTCATTTTTTCAGGACATTAAATATTGTATGACATTTTACTGTGAAAAATTACAGGCCACTAATTTCAGCTGGAGGTGTGAAAAATTAGTTTTCTTTTTTACCCCAGTTTGAAGCTCGTTATCTAGAACTTGAGAAGAACCAAAATTACATGGAAATAGAAGCCTGCTTATGACAAATGTAGTAACTACAACCCCTTGCTTGATTCACAATATGCTAACTATTGAAGTTAAACATAGGATTATAAAACTTCATTTATTTCTAGGGCCTATTAACAAAGACACTACAGTAGAAAGTCATAAACCTGTGATTGAAAATAGGATCCAAGGTGCATGCATGTCTTCATACACGTGCATGTACATACTCGGTCAAAGCTCAAGTAGGTGGAATCAGGTATGTTCTCCCAATATTTTTTGAAAATAGAAATAACAAATGTGTATCTTTATACAGCTATTGTTTCTAATAGCTTGTTTTTATTCTTTCAGTTTCCTTTAAGCACAGGAAATGGCAATTGAAAAGTCTGGATTTCCTGAATTCAATTACTGTCATGACTTGACCCTGGTGGATCTCAAGTGCCCACCAAAGCTGCTCTATCACTCCCCTCCTCAGCTGGGCAGGGGAGAGAAAATATAACAAAGGGCTCATGGGTTGGGATAAGGATGGGGAGACATCACTCACCAGTTACTGTCACAGGCAAAAGACTAGACTTGGGGAAAAGTTAATATATTACCTATCAAATAAGAGTAGAGTAATGAGAAATAAAAACCTTCCCCCCCATCCCTCCCTTCTTCCTGGGTTTGGCTTCACTCCTGATTTTCCCACTCAATGATGCAGGGGACAGGAAATGGGAGTTCCGGTCAGTTCATCACACGTTGTCTCTGCCACTCCTTCCTCTTCAGGTGAAGGACTCCTCACACTCTTCCCCTGTTCTAGTGTGTGGTCCTTCCCATGGGAGACAGTCCTCCATGAACTTCACCAACATGAGTCCTTCCCACAGGCTACAGTTCTTCACAAACTGTTCCAACATGGGTACCTTCCATGGGGTGCAGTCCTTCAGGAACAGACTGCTCCAGCGTGGGTCCCCTGTGGGGTCACAAGTCCTGCCAGCAAACCTGCTCCAGAGTGGGCTCCTCTCTCCCTGGCGTTACATGTCCTTGTCAGGAGCCTGCTTCAGCATAAGCTTCCTGTGGAATCACAGCCTCCTTTGGGCATCTACCTACTCTGGCCTGGGGTCCTCCATGGGCTACAGGTGGATCTCTGCTCCACCGCAGACCTCCATGGGCTGCAGGGGGACAGCTGCTTCACCATGCTCTGCATCACAGGCTACAGGAGAATCTCTGTTCTGGTGCCTGCAGCACCTTCTCCTCCCCTCCTTCTCCACTGACTGTGGGGTCTGCAGAGCTGTTCCTCTTACATAGTCTCAGCTCTTCTCTCTCTGGATGAAGCTGCTATTGCACAAAATTTTTCTTCCTCCTTGAATATGTTCAGAATGTCCCAGAGTTGCTATGTCTATCACTGATGGGCTTGGCCTGGGCCAGTGATCTTGGAGCCAGCTGGCATTGGCTCTGCCGGACATGAAGAAAGTTTTTAGCAACTTCTCACAGAAGCCATATCCCTGTAGCCTCACCCCCTACCAAAACCTGGCCATGCAAACTCAATACAACTAGGAAGCAATTGGCATTCCACTAAAAATTTTATTACCTCTCTTCAGAGTTGTTCTTGAAACTTTTCTACAGAAATGCATTTTGGATTTCTTTTTTAACAAATTAAGTATCTCCTCTTAAATCATAACACATATAAGGAGCTGGAAAAACAGAGACAGCCCACCTCATTCTACCTAAGCTGTTCAAGTCAAAGAGCAGGTCACAATCCTTCAAAAATTAGCATGTATTTTTCATGCTCTCAAAGAGATAGCATATACATATGTTACACCTTCCTCACGCATGATACTATCAAAAATATTAGCAAGGGTTAGGCCAATGAATATGTCAATAATGCCTCCCATTGCACCGAACAGCATTTTTTCACCATTTCCTTGAACATATTGTTCTGTCTCCATTCATCTCCAGTTTCTTTTTTTTTATTTAGACTGTAAATTTGCTAAGGCAAGCCTACCTCACACACAGATGTCCAATTAATATATTTTTTAATCAACCAACAAAAAAAGCTAACCTTGTCTTTCAGATGTTTGTGGTCACTTACCTGCTTGGTGAATTAATTTAGTCACATAGTACCTGTATTTCACAAAGGACATTGGCTTACTAGTAATCTAATGGTAAAGTAAGATATTTCTAGTACTCATCAATAAAAAGCCTCTTTGTAGCTTGCCTTTTTTATCCACAGTTCAGGCAAATGCCCAACAAAATTACTACAATCATAAGCAAAGAGAGGGAAAAACCCCCACCTTTAAAATACATTACTGTGCCTTTTGCCCAATTACTTACTTTAACAAGCACCTATTCAAATCTGTAACGCAACGTACACATCAACTACACCCTCAAATTCACATATTTAGATATTTTTCATTTGCTGAGTTACCTTATCTGCATCCACTTTTCCTCTGATAAATTCTTTCTTCCAGAACTCCAGTGCCTGTTCCAGAGTCAAGCCGATGCCCTTCAGGAACAGCCCATACTGCATCCGCCCCCCGTGACGGAGGTGATGGGTGTCGCGCAGCGCTTTGTGCAACTGCCGCATGCAGAGAGGGAACGACTTCACAGAAAGCTGGCAAGAGAAAAATTCCTGTTTAAGGCATACTGATCATTTAATTTGTAGGATACATGCTTCTTCCGATTATTAACTAGCTCCACTTGAAAACGCCAATGGCTGGAAGAAAAGTTATGCATGTACAGAGAGCTTTGGGACTGACCATAACACAAGTGCGTCCGTAAGCCATCAAATCCAACAACCATCTCAAAAGCCAAAGGACAGAGGAATGCAGACTATCTTCAGCTACAAAGTAACACAGGTTTAATTGCTGTCAGGAAACATATATCCACAATTCCATTACAATATTTCTTGTCTCTTCCTTATTTCAGCTGCTGGAATGGCAAAGTGACCTATGATAAGAGTTTCTGGGGGTTAGGGAAGGGGACTTTTTTCTAAAAAACATCTTTGAAAAACAACAAGCAAGAGTAAAATTCCTTGCAACTAATCTGCAGGTTTTACTCCCTGAAAAATACTATTTGGCATAAAGCAAGATCTCAGAGAACAGAAAACATGTAACATTCAATTTTACTTAGGCTTTGCATTTTTATTTTTTAACATGTGAGTCATGCCATCGAATTCACTACCAGAGGAACTCTATAATGGTTAAGATGGACACTGAAAACACACACATTTCTTAAAATTCAGACAAAATAGTTACAATGTGTTTTTAATTGACTCTATAACATTCATGTCTGTTTTACAATCCATTTTATTTACTTCCTTGTTTTCAAAACCCCTTCTGTAAGCCAAAAAAAGAGCAGTGAAAATACTAATACTGGAATGGAATAATCATAAACTAAACATCATGGGTTGCAAGATTATTCAATAAGAAAATTTTGTTAAACTCTGCTTATAATTATGTTAGGTATTTGTGAAAGTACATAAAATTAAGCAGAAAAATAGGCAATCCATTATAGCCCCGATTAGAGGCATTTTTAGTTAATTCTGCTTTATTTTGAACTTTATCACAATTTCATTCAACAGTTAAAAATAAAATACAAATTAAAAAAAGAGAAACATTTTTTATGTTGTTTGTACATATAGTATTTGAATTTAAAAAGTTATGTTTCAACATACTACATAACTCCAGAAACTCCAGAGGACTTACAGAATCAATCTGCTCTAGAGAAATTTTTCCAGTGTTCTTTTGGACGCTGTAATCTGGGCCAACATAAGAATGGCTGAAAAACAAAGCAAACAGTAGAGTACCATTTAAAGCTGCTCAAAACAATATTTTTTTAAGTATACGAATGTAGAAAGAAATTATTTTATCAATTATAGGCTGCAATTATTTTATATCAGCGAAACCAGAAGCCAAGTAATTGACACTTATAAAACCAACTTTAGAGCCAATATAGTAAAGAAATGCTCCCTACCCCCTTTGTCTGGAAAGAGTGGTGAGGAGTCATCACAGTATCATGCTACTGTTGAGGCTGAGAGAGGCCACTGAAGACGATCTAGTCCAATCCCCTGCTCAAAACATGTGCTTGCTACAGCCGGTTGCTTAGCACCTCATCAAGCTGGGTTTTGAGCATCTCCAAGGACAGAGACTCAAACTTCTGAGCAACCTGTTCCAATGTTTGACCACCCTGGCAGTAAAAAAATCATTTTCTTATGTTTTAAGAGGAATTTCCTGTGCATCAGTTTGCACCCATTACCTCCTCGCCTATCACCGGATACAACTGAGAAGAGACTCGCTCTATTCTTTATTCCTCCTCTGATACAGACACCTATTTATATGCACTGCTAAGATTCACACCCACACTGTCCCGAAACGTATCTCCTCCAGGCTGAACAGTCACAGTTCTCTCAGCCTCTTCTCATATGTACTGGGGAGACCAGGACTGGACACAGCCCTGCACATACAGTCTCACCAGTGCTGAGCGGAGGGGAAGGATCACCTCCCTCAAGCTGCTGGGAGTGCTCTTCCTAACACCATGCAACGAGCTGTAACCATACACTACAGCAGAGACAGTCACACATCAGACATTGTCACCAAAGTAACCTCAAATCAAATTCAACATCTAATGCCCAGCTTTTACTTTTAAATATATAGACTTTGTGAATGAGGATATACGCAGGGCTGCAGAACAGGACCAGAGAAATGCTTACAGCAGAACCCAACCAAAGTCAAGAGTTGACAGCACAGCAGGCAATAAAGCAAACAGGGGCTTTGGATACAGCATACTCATCCAAAAAGCAGGTTGCAAAACCTGGGTAAGAACAAATATCCTTGTGCAAGAGGGATTTTTTACCTAACTTCTTAAACCTTTCTTAAATCTTTCGACAGCGTGCAGAGTTTAACTCCAGAAAAAAAGACATTTTGTTAAATGACAATACTAGGTGTTGCAAATTATTTTGTGGCATTTCAATACCTTAAAGTATGAAAAGCATATAATGAACAGTTGATTTTACTAGAGTACAAATAGTTTGTTTAATTACAGTGTATTCATTTATTCTTTAGCCTTACTTCTCACACACACTGGAGCACTAGAAAAGCCTGCTGTACTTAATAGATTTTTTTCATTACACAACAAGATAATACACAATAAGATAAATAATTTAAAGTATTTGAGCTGTGTATGTCTATTACTATGAATTTTACTACAGAATTATCTAAATTCCCTTGTAGAAACAGATCTGCATCAATTTACTTAGGCAAACTATAAACAAAACAGAAATCACAGTGCCCAAAATATTACAATCGAAGCACAGAACAACAGACAACAGTTATTTCTTAGGCAACTTTTTTTTTTTTTTTATAAACAACCAATTAGGAAAACCAGTAAATGATCACTTCCCAGGATGAGGGCTGGTAACTTCTTAAGCTGCTCCACCACAATAATTTTAGATCACCTGTTTATATCCTAAGTATTTATTAGAATCATATTAATACTGAAAAAAATTGCTAAGCTAAAGAAAATTACTTTTTCCTAGCTTCCATAGAAAGGGTTGGCCTGGGAAGAGAAGGTCCAAAGACAAGACACAAGTTTTCCTACAAGTGAACAAAATAAGACTTCAGAAGTTAGTGTTAAAAGAGGACATGCTCTCTGAATCTTACTGACCACTATATCTGGTAGAAAACTCTATTGCAAGGAGAGAAAACTCAGCGCTAATAGGGGTTGAGGGGGAGAATAAAAAATTCTACTTTTCAGACTCTGAAAAGGTCAAATAGTTTCATCACAGTACACAAACAGGAAAAGTTATTAATTTTTTACATTAAAAAGTAGCATATGACCTTTGCAAGGTCAAATTTTCTTGATACTTCACACTACTCACCAAAGAGCTGAACCCTACAAATTGCCTTCAAAGGTGGTGCTCTGAAAAAGAGTATGAGCTTTATCTATCCAGAATACGTGGTAGACTAGGGTTAGGCACAAAGGCCAGTACTAGCCATATGGCCTTTGGCAGCTAAGCTCTTGGATTCCTGTCCCAAGGAGCTCAAGGGACTAAAGCTTTCAGGTGTGCATTTTCAGGTGCCAGGTCTTCTGATTTTCTACAGTAGAGATTCTCCAAGTCCCTTGGTTTCATCATAAAAAAAATCACACTGCTTTCTCCACAGATTGCCATTATTTTCTCTACATTTCTAGTAGAAAAATCTCAAGAATCTTGCAAAAATAAAAATAAAAATCTAAGACTATTCTTTGTTCTATGAACAATGGTCCTCATTTTTTTCACATCATTAAATGTAGGCAAACAGCTTCCTACTGCTGATCTGAAAACACAACACAAACTAACCAGGTTTGTGATCATTCTCACTTATATTTTTTTGCTTTCAGTTTTAGCTCTTATTTTGGACTCATTCTTTCTTTTATTTGACATAGCTCTTGAGCTTACTTCCTGACCTTCTTACTCACCTAGAAATATTTATTTTCATGGTTTACTGGAATGCAAGCAGCAATGTCTTCACTTTTCACTTTAAAAAGTTTTGTTTTATCTCTATGTATAAATTCCTGTCTCTCCATTCAGCCTGACTCAATCACTCAAAATCTGCTTTTCTAAAATCCAATATCTTAGTTACCAGAAGTTTTCTAAAACACCTAGCAACTAAAGATCAATACATACATTTGCACAGCTGGTGACCAAGAAGAAACTTCCACTACATCAATGCTTCCAAGAATGGGATCTATGTCTTTCAAATAAACAGCTGTAGGATGGTTTTGATAAATATTGTATTATTCACGGATGTGTTAGTGTATTACAAGATTTAGTGAGGGTATGAAGGGCACTTTGTTGAGGATAATAAATAGCAACTGTACATCAAGGTGTGCATTCTTCTTTAGTTGCTTGTGAGATGAGCACAGGTGAGAAGGGGGGTGAATATGTCTGCATGAGTATTGCATTATCTACTAAAATGCAAAACCCTTGGTTTCTGTATCAACCTTATGAAATATCACTTAAAGACAGAATTAAGAGAATCATATAGTGGTGGTTGTAAAGGACTTTAGAAGACCATTTAGTCCCATATCCCACTTTAAATAGGATTACTTAGCCAACACTAGTCAGGTGAGCCGTGGTTTTTTCCAGCTGAATCCTAAAAATCTTCATGAACCAAGATTCTATATCATTGTATAATCTGCTGCACGATCATTCTAGTATAGACATTTTTCCGAGTGTTTGATCTAAACCTCCCAAGCTGTTGATTGTGACCACTGTCATTTGTTATATCCTCTGACCATTGAGAATTCCAACACCATCATGTTTGTCCTTCAAACAGTTATAAGCTGCTATTTGATCATCCCTAAGCCTCTCTTTAAGCAGACTAAATAAAGTCAACTCAGCTTCTTCCTGTAATTCATACATAGGTCCAGTCCTATAGTAGTTTGATGGGATCACAAACAACAGTTTTAGTCTATTCAAAATTATTCCTGTTGAAGATTTTAAACAGTACAATGTTACATCCCTATAATGTCATCACACACCTCATATAAACCAGGAGTTGCAGAACTGTTCTTCTCATGCATTTAGACAAAGTTTCCATCTCTATTAAATTGCTAAAGTTTTAGCAATTTAAATCTCTTTGTAGCCTACTGTGAGCATGGGAAATCCCTAAACGCAACCTTGCAGCAAATGTTTTAACATTTTAACTAAAAATGTTCTCTTTTTTTTTCTTTTTTTGATCTAGTATGAGTAGTATTAGAAACCATCAATGAAACAGAATTGGACAAAAAGAGTATCTAATCACAGATAAAATACATATTTAGTCTAGAACTATCCAATTACAAAACATATGTTACATCCATTAAAAAAAAAAAAAAAAAAGGAATGGTTTACAATATCTATGAGGACATAATCCACAGTAACCTTTTCTAAGGTGACATAATCACCTTTTCTGAGGACTAGCTAATTTGTAAGTCACAAGCAGATATGAATGGGTACCAAAAAAAGTACTGGGCTTTAACAACTAAACAATACTCTGTAACCTTCAACTGTACGCTCTTTTCATACATTTCTATCTAAGCTTTGGCTCCCCTGATAGAGTTCTATTGACATATGCCAAAAATAAAATACTGCTGTAAGAATTCACACAATGAAGGCAGAGAAAAGTCTACAACTAACTAATATTCTCTTTTCTTATGAGTAAGATGAAGCACAATGAATCACAGATTCACAGAAACAAACAACAAAGACAACCTATTTGGTCACCTGCCTGTTTACTGCCAGAGCCTGCTTTTCAAGTTGTAAGGTTTGATGTATTTTCTCCATTTTAAACGAACTTGCAAAAAGGCAACTTGGAAGCATTTGTATAATTTTTTTCAGTTGGTGACAAAAAATACTGGAATCAGTCCCTCCATTTTCACAAAATCAAAATGGAAGTAACTTACCAGTTGTGTAACATACGTACCAAGATAACATAAGAATGTACAAGTAGCATAAATGTGGGATACAGTATCTCTGTTAAAGTAACTTTTTTTGGCAACCTTTTCCTATATTTAAAAAAAAAAAAGCATAGACAGGACTGATTGCTGTGATACTGAAAGCTGGTTCCACTTACATAGACACACAGCATATATCAAAAGAAATTTCCAATTTCTCAGTAATTACTCCGAGAGAGCACAGTTTATAAAAAGCTAACTTAATTGCCCCTTATCTTCAAATGGAGAAAGGCATGCCATTGAGGTGTATTTTTTAAAATCCCAGTGAGATGTATGGTAACAATAGCATTGAAGGTTATTGGCATTCAGAAGTATCCCTAACCAGCTATGTAACAGTTACACTGCAATACTTGTTTTCATTCATTGCTCTTGAACAAAGTTCAATCATATGTAAATAAGCAGAGATACAAAAAAGCTACTTTTCTTATTCTGATTTCCACTAAAACCAACAAAACATAAACCTCTTCCTATAAATTAAAAATTATAAAACTTTTTTTTTTAAATCAAAATAAAATGTCAGGTTTTGGGTACAGATACCTAAAGCAGTAGAGCACCACAGGAAATAAGGAGCATGCTAACTAGACCTGCATCCTAATTCCTGTGCAGTGCTGCCATGATGGAGCTTCAACAATTCCATTTCTAATTCATCCAACATAATTTCAGTGATCTTAATGCAAAGCTGTACATGTTCAAAAACAGAGATTTCATTACTGACATCCAATATTTAAGTAAATTTCTATCCTTAGAGATATTAAAAATTCAACAGAAATAAATACCGGAGCAACCTGATCTAACCACTAAATCATCTCCAGAGGTTCACTCCAAGTTAAATTATTCTATGATTCTAAGCCATCTTCCTTTAATTGTATGGATCTTGTCCTCCCTGCATACTACCATAGTAAGAAAACTCTCCCATATATAGTGGTAAAAAGCAATCACATAAAGAGACCAGATGCTTAACCTGAAGAACATCAGAAAAGTTTTTTTTCTTACTCTTCTTTCCTTTCCTACAAATAAAGTAAGAGTGAGGCACTAAGAGTGAGGCAGACTATTTAGTTTAGTTGGAATATACTCTAATGGCTCACTTTCAGCAACCTCCTTAGGTCCATTAAAAGAACAAATTAGGACTCCATTCATCAATGACAGTGAAATCTTCCAAAATCAGCACAGAATACATGCAACAAGGAAGGCCCATGCTCTAAGCAGTGTAACTTGGAATCTGTTTTGTTCATAAAGAACCTTAACAACTTTGCACACACTATAAAAAATGTTATAAAAGCTACAAATAATTTTTTGTTACTTAGAAGCAACACTAGTTCTATAAATTATATTTCATGTCAGTCACATAAGAGCTGGACTCAATGATCCTTGTGGGTCCCTTCCAATTTAGAACGTTCTGTGATCTCTGATCCTGTAATTTATAAAGCTTTTCTTAAGTTGAAGGGTTAATTTTGGGTTTTTTCCAAAGCCAATCACACAGATGAGGTGTCTGAAAAAATCCCTCTACCTAAAGCATTCTACTAATACAATTATTTTAATCTGTATGAAGGAATATACTCATGCTTTCAGTTTTTGCTACCTGAGATGATTAAGCAGAGGTTGTAGTCTCTCATCAGACTGTATGGAAGGTAGCGATCGTGCTGTCAGCTGGAAGAAAACAGAAGTTCAATTAATAAAATATTACCTTAAAAAACCTGATAGTAAAACCCGGGAATTACGTAAGAAGCCACTCTTGCATTGTTACAACTTTACACAACATAGGGTAAGACAATATCTCCTATTAAAAATAACTAAGCATAGCCTTCCAGAGTCTGAAGTTAGCAGAAATATTTTTTTCCAAATATATTTGAACTAGAAGTCATATTTTGCCTAGACAGCCTTCAACGAATCACATAATGTAAATATATTCCATGAAGCCATATTATATACAATTTACATTTGTATAAAAGGAATTTACATACTATTTAGCACTATATGACTTTTATATAGACGTGCCTCCGTGTACACTGTTCTTTTTAAATGGGCATGACTTCTATTTTGTAATTTGACTGTTTTAAAATAAATACATACTTTATTTCTTATAACTCATTCACATGACTAGTTAAAGCATTCAATTTTCTCTGCAAAAATAAACCTAATAATATGCAGATCAAAAAATGCATGTCACACTATTGCAGAATACTAGTTAGTTGATGTATTAACTAAAATAATTGGAAAAATGTATGTATTAAATTTGCTTAGTATCTGTATATAGGTTTCTACCTTCACCTATAAAAGTTACAAAGATCAGCCCTTCAGATAATTCTGACTTACACCCAACATGAAATATTTAATACAACATGTATTTAATGATTCTATGGCTACCAAGTTAGGCTGTATTTTGAAAACTACCTCTGTACAAATTTAAAATTTCAATATATTTCACATTGTATAAATCACCATCAAGTTCTTGAGTATCTTACAGGTAACTCAAAAATAGCATGCACTGTTATATACACTAATTAAAAATATTATTGTAAACCAAAAATACAAAACCCACCATTAAAAAAAGTCACCATTTTTAGCATGAACAGTTTAGCTTCACCATGCTTCCTCCAACACACAAATAAGGCAAGCACTGAAGTAGGACTACCTAGTAGGCTGCAATTTATATTTATAATCCACAAATAAATATGCCCCAGAAAAAGCCACACAGTGTCTGGGTATAGAGGTTTAGCTGTAACTCTAAGAAACTCCAGACCAAGCTCCATTGTCTCATACCTACACTACGTGAAGATGGAGTTCAATATTTTCCTGAGAGACCACCCACTCATTCATCACATCCATTTCATAACCTGTGCTGCCAGACAGAAGCCAGACTGGGATCAAATCTTAAACTGGTGCCTCAAGCTTGCAATACCATCCAACAGCTAAATGAGAGGAGGTTCAAAAGAGTTGTCTGTCAAGTGAAAGCTGAAAGTTCTGAACACAGGGACAGTGGGGAAGGGGCCATTCCAGCTGTTCAGGTAGCTCTGCACTGCAGCAATCACTGCCTCACAACACAGCTCTTCTTAGTCCCAGGTAACCCAAGCGTACTCATCCAATTTGGCTGCGGCAGAAAAGGTAACCAGGCAGTCTCAGCAATCCATTCATCTTCCTTTTTTAAAAGGTAGCTATCTTGGCAATTAAAGCATGATCCACATTCCTTTATTTTATGGAGTTAGATTGAGATGCATATGGTATACTAAAAATTCAGTAAGCTCTGTATTTATTCAGAAGCTTCTTTTGATAAAAAACTTGTCTTTTTACCACTGAATTTTAAAGGCCAATATTCCAATATACTTATTATTCTATATTCATGTCCCTGGTAAAGCAAACCTCTAATTTTGCTTTAAACGCCATCTGAAAAACAGAAATTATGTTTGAAGAGAACTTGGAAGCCTTCTAAACACCATTCAAGTTATTCCACTTGTCTAAAATCAGAACAAAGACTGAATTACGGGAAATACCATCTGCTTCTTTTCCATTAATAACTTAAACGATACAAAAAACAATATTTGCATGCACACTCACATACATACGTATCCTTTCACATGAGACAAGCATACAGTATTTTTCTCTACAGAAATATCACATTTAATCAGAAAAAAATTTTCCTTGCTATAAACAATACATTTATGAAAAGATGTTTATGGAAGTCAAATTGGACAGTAATGTAAGTAGCAAAGAAAAGTAACATTCAAAATCTGAAAAAACATTGACATTAGTTATATATACAGTAAAACTACATTGCTACATAAATACCATCAATTAACAAAAACATTGGTTTAAAACTAATTTTGGAGTCTTGTAGGAATTGAGGCAGAACCAAGAACTCATCCTGGAGTTTTCTGATGTGAAAATAAGATCTAACACCTTTCAAATCTTAAAACAAACACTTTGTAAGGTTAGATCAAATGTTTATTTTCATTAAGATATGGGATCCTCATGACACTGTTCTAAAATAAGATAAAGTTATCCCAAAACTAAGGATAGCTTTCTTTAAACAAAGTTGAGGAAACCTCATCAAAATATTTGAACAATTTTAACTCAAAGAGCACATTTTGCTTTAACTTAGTTGGATTATAAAAATAAAACCTAACATTTTCATATATAAAGTCATTCCTCACAATTATACTTTTCCTAACTGATCCACAGTGTAAAGAAAATCAGCTTTAACAAAGGTGATGTTAGATTATTGCTAATGTTTTCAAGCAGCTAAGAATTGTATGTTTTCAACAACATTTCTCTAAAAGATGATCCCTATTACAGAATTCAAACTAAGATTCTGAAGATTTTTTCCAATAACTCTGGAATGAAATTTAGATAAATTCTGGAAAGCACAGCCTTGCTTTCATCTCTATAAGGTACTCAACATAGAGACCATTTTACCAGAAAAAAAAAAAAATAATGGAAAACCACGACATTTGATATTTTAGAGACCCGAAAGACATCAAAAATGTTGTCAAGTAAAGAGCATAGCTCCAAATTCTAATCATGTTGAAGCAGTTTAATTTAGAGAGAACATAAAACACTGCCAGCTTCAGATATTTCCAGTCCCAGGGCCTGGCTCATCAGAGTAGGAAGCAGAGTGACTCAGACAAGAATGTGTGGACACCTCAGAGCTGAGCTGAGATGGTGAAAGCTGGGGTGAGTGATGCAGATCAAGGCAAGTTCAGTACAATATCACACAGCATTTAAAATTAAGAAAGAAGAAAGAACACTTAACAACATAAGAAAAAGGAAGTATCCTAAGTCTAAATTTCAAAAGTCTAGCATCACCTGTGACCTTAGAACGTCATGTTCAGCAATAAGACTAAGGTGTAATTTTTCCAAAGCAGCCATTGCTCAAGGTCTGGCTGGGCATCAGTCTGCTGGTGATGAGCATCACTTATGGGTTTTTTCCTTCTTTCTTTTATCACTTAATGAACTGTTTTCACCTCAATCCATGAGTTTTCTTATTTTTGCCCTTCCTGAACTACTTCTCCGTGCCTCAGGAAAGGTTGGAAGGGTAGAGAGAGGATTTCCTGCCAGCCAGGGTCAATCCACCACTTACATATATATACTCATTTTACACTAATAAGAGGTTGATAAATTTCAGCTTAAGTACAGATTTCACAGTATTTTGAAAGCTTTGTTGTCTATCTTAGAGAAGTCAAAAAACTGCTACTGGTTTGTGCAAAAAGGATGTTTAAAAACCTTTAACAACAACAAAACACAAAACCAACAAAAATATCACCAAAAACCCCAAAACGACAACAAAAAAACACACCAAACAAACGCACAACAAAACTCAAACCCCCACAATTATACAGCAGGCTTAAATGTACCAATAACTTACATCTCTACAGGATTTTCCCTGAGAAATCTGTGAAACGAAATAAATAAAGTGGAAACTTTGATGCTAACATAGACGTGACAATAGCTTAATCAATGTTAATAACTGTGTAGAAAATGAATAAAATAAATAAACAAAGACATGGTTCTAAGGATGTAGACTTCACAGAAGCCTTCTCAATGTGACATTAGGCCACTGCATTTCTGTAAGGTCACACTAAAATTAACCTAATTTTAACTAGATGCTAACACTGTATCTTGCTGAAATTTCTAATACAATGGTAACATTTGAGAAAAAAAAAAAGTCAGAAACAAACTTAGCTTAGCTTAGAGCTGAGTTAAAGCAGGATCTGACGTGGTGACCAGTAAGACAGAGGAAGGGAAAACTTTCCCTTCTTCAAACCTGCTGCTAAAGGTCCTGATATGAACTATTCATCTCCATTAAAGACTAAATAATAAGCCTATTTTCAGGAATCTAAAGTCTATTTATCTAACAAACAAACTCTGGCAGAAAACAGGTGCTATTAACTGCATTGCTCCTCAAACCACTCAATTCTTAGATAATGATTAAAAAACATTATGCTGCACATCTGTTAGAAACGGAGTCTTCCTTCTCACACCTCTGACTACAGCCTATTTGATTTCATGAAGTGCATCACCCAGATGAGTATGAGCCTGCACAGCAGTGAAGTGCAAGAGGGAAATAAGGTAAAAGATAAATGAAAACAAATATATGAGTAAAATATGACATGATAATAGTATGTTCAAAGAAACTGTATACAATTAGAAATTATCTTTTGTGGACTGAAATAAAATCAGATTTTACTCTTCTATACCTATTCAAGTCTTTCTACAGAATTTTTTTAAAAAGAGACTCCATTTAGAGATAGCTATTTAACACTACAAGGCAGTACATTTTTTCCAACTAACTCATTAATACTAAACAGACTTTATTCAAAGATTTGTTTGGCAAGCATTTGAAGATGTTTTCCAGATGTAATCAATCTAGCAGAGTATCAGCTTTTACGTAACCTAAGCCTGACGTACACCTTTTTTATTGACAGCACCACAGCCATGGCATATCTGAGAGTCAGAATTACAGATCCCAGCTTTTCCCCTTCACCAGGAATAGCTGAAAAACAAGGGAAGACAGTAAGATGTTTTCTGTTCAAGTTTTTACTTTAATTCAGGATTTTTCTTCTTGTCCCCAGTTTATCTATCCTTCTGGAGTCTCTGTTTGATCAAAAGGAAAACAATCTCCAAGAGATACTACAAAAGCCTTCAGGAAGCTT